GCGAGCAGGTTCTCATCGCTAGGACCTGAAGTGCGTACAAGGCTCAGGACCGGTTTTTGTTACTGGACGTGAACTAGCCAGACCTGACCCTAAACCCTGAACCCTAGGGCTCGTAAAGACTGCCAGGGTTAGTGCAATCAGGTGTTGCTTTCCCGGGGTTTAGGCGTTTGGGGGTTTAGGGTTCGGGTCTTGTTGGGGTTTTGGTTGGTTTAGGGTCGTTCCGCGGTTTTAACGTCTAGCAAAATTCTTTGACGCGGCCAACTGCATGCATGCGATGGCTTCGGCGTCGGACTGCTCTGGACCTGAAACTGACCTCGGCCCGATCCGAAACTGACGGTGGCCTGATCCGAAACAGACCTGGCCCTCGTCCCGAAACTCAGCCCCGAAACCGACACCGAAAACCCTGAAACTCACAACTTCCGGCGTATCTGGTCGGCCTCCTGAATTGCGCTCTTGATCAGGAAAAGTGAGCAGGAAGCGGTCTTTGATCTTACAGAAAACACCTAACAAAGTTGGGGAAGCCGAAGGGGTTTCGCCTTCTTCTGTTTAATCCGCCAAAAGTTGTCCACGAATGTGCTCTTTCTTTGCAATTGATTGGAGTACTTCGAATCGGCCCTGAGAATCTGGGCGCAAGGGACCCACCAGCGGCATTGCAGCAGCTTGAAAAGCCCCAAAACACGTCAGAGACTAGCGAACACCAGTCCACCCAGAGTGGCGAACAAAAGCGTCGCGGTTGTCAGGTGCAGAGCTGAATTCCAGTGAGAAATCGTGCAGAAATCCCAGTGCACAGCCGTACATGGCCCTTTCTCTGTCACCAATGCTTACTCACGGTATTGCTGCGACGGAGGACATTTCCAGTCGTCCGAACGCCACCTCTTAAAAGGTCTCGCGCGACTCTTTGTGCGTATGTTTGGGGGGCGGTGCCCTACCCTCTGCGGTTGGCGGGGGCCTGGTGAGGCAAGCAAGGGAAACAGACAACATCTTCAGCGACCGGATTACTGAATTTCGCGACGTGGGCGCAACATTTCCCGCTGACGATTCCACTTGCGTTTGAGGCGAGGCCAGCTGCGAACGGCGGTTGCTGGCGAGCCTCAGGCTTGGGCGGTCGCAAGACGGCGGGACACTAGTTTTGACGAGGCCGCCTCGCACAACTACGAACGGGTCCCCATGGCTATGTGCAACAACTCGTGATTGAGTGGAGGCACACCTGACAACAAACAGAGCGACCCTGAACCTGCTGGCGACAGGGGATGGAGATCCACAGTTCTCGGTGCGAGCTTAACTTGTGGCCTTCGAGACGTCGAAGGTGCACACGCGACCAGCACAAAGGTGTCTGTGCGGCATTGCCCCTGCAGGTTGGATGCCAGCTTGGCTTACGAACCTCAAGAGTGTCTCCGAACTTAACCCCCGACGGTGGTTGGTCCTCACCACCCTGAGGACCGAGCACCCGCCTGGCACGGGTAGCAACCACAAAAAGGGCCTTTAGAGATCATGTTCCTATAGGGGTATCCCAGCTGGACGAACTCGGACGACTGGTGGCCTGAAATCAGTGAATGTTTCCCAGGCCAGAAAGCCGAACAAAACTTTGAACTATCCTTATACGAACAGGAAAGACTTCCTGACACAGCTTTTGGCTCGTGCGAACCTGCAACATCTTGCCGGACAGCGGACAGAGTGTCTGGAGCCCTTTAGCCCCGATTTTGCAAATCGCCGGCGAACATACCACCGAATGTGGAGTAGGCAACGATGGCACCACTAAACATGTGGTAGGCAGTGAGGTCACCACTGAACACGTAAATGGCGGTGAGGACGAACTGGTCCCGGGTTAGTCTGAATCATTCTGAATCGTTGCCCTCAGCAGCGCAGATTGCACCTTGACGTCATGTCCCAGAACTGGGGTGGCGAGGGTGTCACGATACTGAGCTGCTTCAACGGCCGAATAATGCCGACACGTTGGCCGGGACTGACCACCAGTCGAGGCGAACTCGAAGAACACGGTGCAACCGAAGGGGTCGGGAGCGCATGCTGACCACCGACCGGCTGCGTAGATACCGCCTGCGACTCGCAGGTGGGGCCGTCGTGGCAATGCACAACGGCATGATCAACATGCTGATTGCGTCCTATTTATAAGGCCTAAGGGCTGCCAAGATTGAAGTGGTGATTCTTAACTTCGCGCATCTGGTTGGCCAGCTGTGCGCCGGCACCTGTGGGCCCGTGTCCCTTTTGATAAATGTGTTATCAGGGTTTTAGGGTTTCGAGTATTCTTCTAAAGCACAATAGACAGATCTTTTGAGATACATCTTGATGGGGTAGGGTGCGGACGTCGCTAGCTGGAAGAAGGACACAGTAATAGGCAGAAAGAAGGTAGAGAGGGAGAGAGACAGAGGGGCGTCCAAGGCTTAGGAGGCACCGAGTGTCCCTTTCGACGGATTTCGGGGCGCGACCACGACCGGACGAACTGCCCTTCTCGAGGTCAGGCGAGCAAGATGTCGCAGTAGCCGGGGTGCCAGCTTCACCGGCCGCGGTGGGACTACATGCGTGGGCTGCCAAACGACCGCAGGTGGTACCCCGTCGGTGCAACAGCCTCTGACCTTTCTCGCTCCAGATCAGACCTCATGTCAAACACGAAGATCACAAACAGCTCCAAACATCTCCAAACACCACGGACGCAACACTTTACCCGCTTGTCCCTGGATGTACACGTGCACTACACAGCAAGGTCCTGAACCACATGGCATGTCCTTCCTTCGAGACAACGTCAGGCATGCCAGGCAAGGCCGACCTAAACCCGGTCGCCTTCTTGTAATTCCCACGTCCTTTCCATGCTGTTTTCAGTGATCGTTCGCCATGCCACACCATCGACACCATAAACAGCACATTCCCGCGCCGATTCGTCCGATTCATAATGCACTGTGGTGTGTTGTGGTACGATCGCTCGCGTAAGACCTGCGCAGGCCTCCACTTGGGCATGGGCGTTTCGTGCCCGATGTTTTGTACCCTGCCCTCTCCTGTTTCCGTTAGCTTTGGGTTGGGCTGGCCAGTGCCCTGGTGAGGACTGCTTGGAGTTCATCGAGGCAGTGATTCAAAACAACCTAGAGAACAACGACCTACGTCTGTCGTGTCTGAATCCGCCTACAAGCCAAGAAGACATCAGCCGGTGCGAGGTATACAAAAGCTTCGGTCCAGGTGAATCGCAAAACTGGGTACTTCTCCTCACTACGTACTGACATGATTATCAACTTTCACACCACCTGACCGGCCACCCTTCCAGCTGTGTGGTGCTTATCATGTCCTGCCTCAATGTTGCAAAGGCGCCATGATCAGAACACGCACACACACACACACACGAGCCTTTCTGGAACCCCTGTCTTGTATCCATCGTGCCCATCTTGTCAACTGTCCAGCGAGTGCTGCGTAATCTCAGGGGTTCGTCTGAAGCTGCTCTAACCTGCTCTCATGCCTTGGCGAAGACACCACGCACCACTCTCACTCTCTGACGAGCCATCGCAGGCCTAGCGCCACCGGCCCTACTTACTGCGAGGTAAACAGTACACGGTACACAGACTGAGCCTCTGAGCAAAGTGCCAACGAAACAACGCAACTTTTCCGAGCCGATGGGTCAATTTGACTTCGTGTGCACCTCATGTGCACTGCGAGCTTGCCTAACAGGACCTGACCAGTTTCTTCAGAAACGAGTCGCAGCACGCTGAAGGCACTTCTCTGATCCACTCTGCAGCTGTACATGCAGGGTTAACGGCGTAGCGCTGCGAAGCGCTGCTCAGAGAAGCAAAGATAACGCCGCCTCCTTGGTCACGCAACTTATTACGCGACCGCGTGCAGTCGTAATCGGCACCTGGCTGCATGTCAAGCGGAGAGTGTCTGGCCTTGTAGGTCGAGGACTGTGCAACAAGGCAGCTTCGTGCAACTGTGGCATGCGCTTCTATCCTGAGAAGCCTGAGCTGTGCACCAGAGCCCTGAAAAGGTTGAAAACCCTGTCCGCGCCTGGGCTGAGGTCACACACACACACACAGCAATTTGGCCATGCCACAGACACGAGTACAGACCGGCCGACTGAGCGCCTGTCGGATTCCTGGAAGGCCCTCCTTCACAGCACAAAGCACAAGCTGAGCTAGGCGGTGTATGCATGATTACGCATGCCGCAAAACCAGCAGTCCTGCACCACCAGGTCCGTTTCCAGGCTGCTCACCTCCTGGTGAGGAGAGTTGGCTGGGGGCTTGAAGCAGTTTGAGGATGTTTGCAGCCGTATCCTTGTAGTGGAGATTGTTGAGTCATCATCAGCTGCTGGCCCAAACCGGCCTGCCAAAGAGGCGCGCCATCCAAAGCCGCACAGCCATGCTGTTCATGGTTGTCCTGCCCCTGGCCCTGGCCCTGCATCAACCTTGCAGCAGATGCTTGCAGGACATGCTTCCTGGCAGATAGCCCAAGGCCCCAAGGCTGCAACTCCACACTAGTCTTGAACATTCTGTAGCCCACTCTCGTCCTCAGTGACACAAGCAGACCGGCACAAGTTCAAGTGCATCTAGGCTGCTAGACGCCTTGCTTCAGGGCTCGGGGCCAAACGCAACAAAATCCAAAAGGACACCAAGAAGCATTGCCACCTCCATTGAATCATAGGCTGCGCATCATGCTTTCGAGACTTGCTCTGATCGGTGCAGAGCGGGGTAAGCACAGCGCGTTTTGGACTACCTTACACTGTCTGCCCGAGTGGTCAATCTGAAGCGTGAAGGCTGAACTGAGGCACCAGGCCCATCGGCTGCTACACAAATTTCGTGGGATGTCTACCTGCGCTCAAAGGTATCTTAGAGCAGCATATTAGAATTGCTCCTCCATGGCCTTTGTATTGGCTGGAACGGTATATGCGGCGGTACCGTTCACAGCCGCATCTTGTAAATAGATGGTGGTGTTCTTCAGTAGAGTCGCTTCCAACTTGCGAAGCAGCAAGAACATTTGAAAGCAGCACCAGAAAAGAGTGATCGTGGACAACTGACCCGCGACGCAGGTCTAAGTGCATCGCTGGCTTGGGGCAATCGCTGGAAAACATGTTGCCCGCTCCAGGGTATGGTTCTGCAAGTAGACTGATGACATTCAGTATGTCGAAGAACCTTCATAATCTCTGCATGCCTGCACACGCATGCACGCAATCGTGCAGCTTGGAATCTCAGGCAGCGGCAATGAGATGAAGGCTAAGAGAAAAAAAGGAACGATGCATGTGCTCATGCACCTCGAAGACACTGCGACTGTACAGGAAGTGGTTGGGCAAACTTACCGTGTTGAGTCCAAAGACTGGTCAGATCTTGATGCCATCGCAGCAGCTGCCGCCAGAACAAAGACCTGGCATGGGCTAGCGACTGCAAGAGCTGACCTGACTTGTTCCCTGTTGGCTGTGCCCTATATAGTGCCTTTCGGCTTAAGCGCTGCAGAGCAAAGGGGGGCATCTCGCTGGGCGCAGGCCCAAAACGGTTGGCAGAACGTCTCGGCAGGACAAGCAACCCGATCTTGTTTGCATCCCTATCCAGACTTTACTCTGAGGAGGACAGTTTTTCTTGGTTGAGGATGCTCAAAACAGCTGAAGCATGAACACATTTTCCTAACCGTCCTAACCTGCTTGAACTTCTTCGGCTGGAGATGTCAGGATCAGCTCTTGGCTTAGAGGTCCAGAGCCCCTATAAACAAGGCTAGCCTGTATGTCCCGGGATACACACATTCAGTCAATCTGACGAACAGGCTCGACCTCCGTGTCGCTGGGAAAAGTACCGTGCGGTAGTAGAGAGCGGAGAGCATGGTCGTCAGGAGGGTCAGGAGGCATTCTTGCAGCCGGTAATCGAGAATATCGTCTGTTATTTCTCCAGGGTTCCCCTGGACAGCTCTTGATCAAAGGAGCCAGAGCCTTACTCTCGTTTCACCCGCATACGCTGAGTATCCGAGGCGTGTACATAATTGATGCCAGCATTGAAGGCTCCAGCTGTCAGCGACATGAGTAGCACAACCATATAACCAACCTGAGCAAGGTGCAAGGCGGGTGCAAGCTGTACTGCAGCTGGATGCAGGCGATGACTGAGCTCCAGTCTACAATCAAATACAAAGCTTTTTTGTACCTGAACACATCCATGCGTTTCAGAACTTGCTGCAAATGCTGCAAGCTGTGTTGAGCTCCTAGAACGAACCCATCATCGCCTCAGCAGCTCCGGCGGTGGCGGCGCAGGGCCTGGGCCTCTCCAAGTCCAGGCCACACAAGAAATTGAGAATTTAGGCTAAGACTCTGCCGGTGAGGCGTCCGATCGGCCGAATGATCGAATGCTGAAAGCAAGCTGTTGTTGCCAACCGCAGTTTTTTCCGGGTGAGACGTGGTTTTCGTCAGGTCTTCTGAGGGGCTGGAAGGGACCGATAGCCCCCAGCAACAAGGACTGGCTGGACGTCCGGCAGAAGTCCGGGTGCGCCGGGCAGCAGCTGATCTGTGTGGTCTGTGTACTCTTCCAACCCTTCAAGCGGTCGGATAAGCTCGAATTTGGCCACCAGCAGGACGGGCTTGCGGTGAGGTTCCGGGTCGAAGGGCTGAACTTTGGTGACGTGGTAACCTAGCTCGCGAAGGTGCTCTGCATCAGCCCGGAAAGCTGAAGCATCAACGGATACATAGACGATGGCACGAGCAGCTGTTGATCGCAGCCAGCTGTGAAAATAACTGGGCGTGCCCCGGCCCTTCTTGCGATTCCTCGGCTGGCAACAAAGAATCACATCGGGAGGAGGAAGCGTCGGAGCTGATGATTCTGTTCCGGCGTGTGCGAGTCTTGTGTCGCCATCATGTAGCACCACGTCCATCGCAGAGGCCGCAGAGGCCGAGGCAGTGGCAGTCTTGTCTTGCTGGTGCCCAGGTCCAAGGCTCTCTGGCTGGGCCGCTTGGGCCCAGGCGCTGTCAATCTCCATCTCGATCTCGATGTCGGAGTCTCCATCTTCTACATCCCACTCCTCATTTTCACCTTCGTCTTCACCGAAGGCTTCTGCCACTTTGGCTTCAGTTTCATCCATGTCCCTATCTCTGTCCTCTTCACCTTCTTCTGTGCTACCACTCTCCTGTCCTGGACGAGCCTTTCGTACAGACCTTTCATATCGCCAGAAATTCTTCGACTTCACTCTATATGAGCTGGCCTTCGCGACGAGGAACGGATCCACAGCATCTTCATCCCCTTCTTCCGTTCCCGCCGTCTCTCCAACAAGGGCCTTATAAGCTCGTGTCAGTGCCTGGAACCGCTCGGAAGCATCAGCATCGTTTGGGTTTTTGTCAGGGTGGTATTTCAAAGCTAGTCTTCTGTACAGTCGCTTTAATCGGGTTTCCATTTCAGGAGGAACTTCGCGGACTTGCGGCGTGTCCTCCGAATCGTTGCGGCTCAAGGGGACAGGCAAGGTTGTCAGCACGGGGCGAAAGTCGCGAACAAAGGCTGGCAACAAAAGCTGCAGTTCCTGATGTGCCAGCGCATCTTTCCGCAGCAACGGAGCATTGAAAGGTGCAGCCGTGAGTCTTTGCAATTGCCGTCGGCGGCTTTCACCTGGAACGAAACAAGTAAGTGCATATTCCCGTGCCTTGTCCTGCTCTTTCCCAGTGCCGAGCAGCAGTCGTTGTTGCTGTGACTGTGAGATGTGGAAGGAAAGCTGCTTCAGGGTGAAAGGACTCCTGAGATTGCACAGAACTGTCGTGGTGTTGGACACATTGTTTGCCGCCAGATTCCTCTTGAGCTCTCCAACTTCTGTTGCTGATGTACCAATGGCAACAACATGCTCACAAAGCTGCCCGAGAGCCAAACTTAGCTCACCCCCACTGCAGAAACAGTGCCACAATGTGTCAGTCTCGGTTAAGCCACACATTGCAATCACAGTCTCGCATAACTCTCTGAGCAGACCTCCATGTGCTGCCAACCGGGAGCCAGCACCAATTTCCAGCAGAAAGCGGCGTAGGTCACCACCAAGGTTAACCTCGAAGGATTGCCGCACGTATCTTCTGCCATATAGCAGCACCTCTCTTCGCCCGCCCATCGCAGCACGTCGAGATCGCGCAACGTTTGCAACGATGCCAACCAGGCTGCGAGGAGCGGCTTCGACAAGGGCATCTGCCAAAGGCTGCAACACCCCTTTCACATCCTCAACCTCATTGCCAAGAACAATATTCAAGAGCACTTCGGTCCGCCGGGTACTGTCCGTTCGAGGGGGTCCGCGTGCGGTGAAGACCATAACACTTCTAAACGTTCCCCAGCTCCTCAGCTCATTGTATATGCTATACCTCGATTTTTTGGTTTGCCGAAAGCTCATAAAGACGTCGGAGAAAATGCTCAAGATGCGGACCCCTGCACGGGGTGGCAAGATACAGCCGTGCAGTCCCTCGCCTTGAGGTCGAGCTTCTGGAGCGAATCCAGACGGTGCGATGAAAACATCGCCATCGCTTTCGTGAAACATCAGCTCCATCCGATACGCATAATGCTGCTGAGGCGTCGACGGTCGCATTCGTGCCAAATGTCCCATTGGGATCTTACCCTGGCCGAGTGCTTTCTGGATCCATCGTGTTTTCTCTATCAGCTGACGTTCATACCGAAGGTCTAGGAAATCGCAGCCGCCACAAGAATCGTAATGTGGACAAAGTGGACGGATCTCATAGCGACTTCGACGGACCTTTTGTACTTTCGGGTTGACATACACATCAAGATCGCCCTTCGGGTACTTCTTCTCCACCACCTTGCCGAATTCGACAGTGACTACCTCGCCTGGCAGACCTCGGGGAACGAGGAACTCCTTTGTTAGAACCGAGTTCTTTCGTGTGTACCAGCGGAATTTGATAATGCCTGCACCATCTTTTTGGCAAATCCCGATGATCATCACATCCTGAGGCCAATCTGTGCGTGGAGGTCGATTGCGCAGCGGCACGGCGTCCCGGATCCTGTCCGGTGCTCGATGACTGCTGAGAAATGGTGCAGGACCTCGATGCCGCTCCCACGAGAACCCTTTCCGCTGCATGCATCTCCGCCATGGAAGCACATAACTCCGTGGGAGAGGAAGTCGCATCGCCACTCATGCCGGAAGGTAGGCATGGCACTGCACCTGAATCTGAGTAGTAAGTGCGGGTTTACACACGCAGTATTAAAGCCACTGGGCAAGATCATGCAAAATCCGAAACTCCAGCATTGAAATTAGGACTGACAGCGTAGCTGCTTGGCCTGAGCATGCATTGTTGGCAGGGTTCGGCACTGCGGAAAACACTGCTCGCTGTGTCCGTTTCTTCAAACATGGGTGGACGTGAACCAGTTGAGTGCACTAAGAGCCCCCTAAAGTCACGCCTGGACCAAGGCCGCCTGCTAGCGGAATCATGGCGACCTCGACTCAAAGGAGTGCGCACTGCAGAGTCGCAGCTCCATCGCATGCCACCATGTTCCACGCTTCGATCCCGCCTGGAGGTAACCTCAGCTGGATTCTGAACAGACTTTCTACATTTGTTCACTTGATCATAGGTCATAAGTCATAGGACACAGATCGCATGCTTCAGCCGAGCAGCTGAATTCAGATAGGTCCCACTTTGAATTTGGAGTCAGTGATCGTCACGCTGGCAGCCCATCAGCTATAAACTGAGCCACACTGCAAACACCAGCCACGAGACGCCAGAATTGATCAGTAGAATGGGCAAGTCCAACCTTACAACATCACTGAAGCATGTGGACGGGCTACAATCAGATCTTTTTAAGAGTCGGCTTATGCGTGTCGTCTCACTATTTTGCTGGGCTGGGGCTTGCAGCCCATGACAGGAGTGTTCACAGCTGAGTTCAAAGAGTAGCACCATCAACCACTGGTGGCATCCAGTGCTTCTCGTTTTCGCAATGAGAGCTGGCAGAGCGCTGCCGAACTCAAAACATCCAAAATTGCCGCAGCGGCAAAACAAAGATGCCCATTTAAAGTTTCTCCCATGACACCCGGCTGACCTGTCGACAAGCAGCTGCGTCTTGTCGCTGTGCACAGGGGCCGGTCTTGAGTTTCGGACTTTACCCTTGTCGTCCAGTGACACGCAGACGACAAAGTGCGATCCTGGGGTGGCCTTGCGCGAAAGCGGGAATATGCCTGACTTTCTTCTAGACGACTCAGTATCAGTGGCGTGAGACATTCTTGAATAAATCCTTTCGCGTCGTCTCGTCGATCAACCGTCCCCATGTGCTGGCCCTGGCCGGCATGGCATGAGACCTCCTCGGTCTCGCTTTTCCCGATCTGCCAGCTCCTTGACAGAACAGGAAGCCAATTGACTGCTCGAGGTCGCCTAAAACCAGCTGAGTTCTTCACCGATTTTGCCCGGAGTCATCAGGACCACAGACCTCTACAAGGGCGAGGGTCATGGTATCCTACGTGTGTCAAGGACAAGCGTGGTTCTGGGGGCGGCGCAAGGCTCAAATCCCACACATTAAGCAATTGCCATGACTAAGAACACGGCAGTGTACTTGTCCTCTGCGCCCGCCTGTATACGTCGACTTGCGACAAGCGTCTCCCTAACTCGCCTTGAACCCTTCATTGCGAGGCGCAGGGCCTCATCGATGCTGGGATAGATGACACGGTCCCAACCTTGAATCACAAACAACCAGTACATCGTGCAGCTGTATGCCATTCAAGCAGCCCCGTCTACAAGCATGCAGGAAGAAACACAACAAGCAAATCTCTGCTCAAGATCCGATGATTTTCATATTAGTGCCATGTGAGGTGCCATGTGGCCGAAGAGTGCAAAAGGCAGCCCCTGAGGCGATGTCTACCATTTTCCAGAAGTTGGAAGCAGTCCCAACCTAGGTCAGCTACAGGAGGCAGATGTGACCAGACATGGCGGAAGAACGGCATCAATTCGACACACGTTCCAAGGCCACGGCCATCGTCACCAATTTCCATTGGAAACACAAACAAACCATCCTCCCACCTCGTGTATGCTTTGACTTCGCTCTGGTCAGACATGAATTTCTTTTGGAGGTGTGTGCGCGACTACAAGCAACGTGCACCTGGACCTGCCAAGCCTGTACGGCACAAAGATATATGCTCCATATATACCCTTGCACTGCTCCCGGAAGGGTTGCATTGACTGTTCACCCAGTGCAACGGACGGTGGCATTATGCGGCATTGACAGGAGGTGAGAAGCCATGTCCTGCCTTACTTTCACCAGGGCTAGGCACATCTTTTGTCTTTCTCTCTCCTTGTTCTCAGCCCGCTGGGATGCAAAAGGAATTAGGGAGGTACTGTATTTGGCATGCAAGGATTGGGGTTCTGGGACCGCGTGCTCTTCTCAAAGCTGGGCCCCCAATGCACACGCTTCCTTGACGCTGGGCCACTGTGGCAAAAGTGGCATCTGCGGTTGTGAGCATGATTGCCACTTGAGGTCGTAGTATTTTATACATTGAACCTCAGCCGTTGAGAAACTGAGGCTTGCTCTCCATGGCGTCCGGCATAAAGCTGTTCCAGCCTTCAAGATGCTGACAGGAGCTGCATGGCAGTACCGCCAGTACCGCTTTGCCGTCTGCTGGTTATCTGAGCGTCTAGCTTCCGGCGATCGAGAGCCTAAACGGCGGCTTCTTGCCCGATGGCCACACCCTGGCGCTCAAGCAATTGCTGCATCCTTGTGACTGGACACAATCGTCGGGTGGCCCTGGCTGCGGAATTCCCTTCACGTTGTCATAGGTCTCCTGAAATCACGAACGACTTCATACCCCATGACTATGACCTGAATTCAACCGCCAATACAAAGCCTGCCTTGTCTTTGCCATTTGTGTAGGCAGTCTGCATTTCATCCAGCCCGTTGGAAGCCTGGAAGACAGTAGCTACACAGCAACCAGCATGCAGTCCTACGGCCTGCAGCAGTCTGAAACGCACTTCTTGCCTGCCTGTTCCTTGCTCGCCCTTGCGCATGCCTCGGGATCACAACCAGGTTCTGGAACTCGATTGGCATTGATGTCATATCATGGCCGCCGACTTTGGACAAGCCCCGCCAAGTCCTGGGAGGAAGCTTGTTCAACTTCATAATCCCTGCACGCCACAAAACACTGCCGAGCTACTCTGGAGGAGATCGTAACCCCAGCAGGCCTCAGCTCGCAAATCCTTTTGCCAGCACAGTGCTCGGCGTAGCGCCGGCTGTGCAATTTTGTCAACATCACCTAGCCTAGTAGGGCTAAGAAAGCATTGGCCCTCCACCTGCTGGAAACGGTTCCGAGCTTGTCAAGTGCTGCTTCATCTGACATGACCGGACTAGCATCCGTATCTGAAAAGTCGCTCCCCAACGGGAATTGGAGCTGTAACACCTTGGGGCAGCAGGGTAGACGGCCTCCGGCTGCCAAGATTGCCTAAACATGCGAAGCCCTGCAAGTCCGCTTGGGGTCAACCATCTCCTACTGCTTCTTGCCGCCTCCAATAAGGTTTTGTAAATTTTCCCGAATGCGTAGCAGAAGGGTTCTCGTTTTAAAGGTTGGGGTCCAGGGGTCCAGGCGTTGACCCGCGATCGTTGTTAAAGCGTTCGCAAGCGTCCGCGAAGCGTTCGCGAAGCGTTCGCGAAGCGTTCGCGTGTGTCGCGCGTGTGTCGCACCCGTGTCGAATCC